TGGCGGTGGCGGTGCGTCGGCAATGACATCTCCCATATCATGGTGTGGAGGCTTGTTTTGGTGGCGGTGGACCGGTACCGTGGTATCCCGGGTGGCCCGCGTGAGACTCCAGGTGAAGGCTCCGTGGTTCGGCGCCGGCGACGATGATACATGTGTGTGTCATGTCCCTCTTGGGGGCGTTGTTGTGCCCCCCTCTCCGTGTTAGAGCTTTGGGTGAAAACTCTTGACTGTCCTTCAGTCGCGGCGGCGACGGCATGGAGCTCATGTACCCTTCGGTCGCGTCCCTTTGGCATCGGCGGGCGAGCTTGGATCCTATCTCGGGGCTACTTTAGCTCTGGTTTGGGGCAGCCTTGACGGCTTCCTATCCTTTGCACGTGACGTTGTTGACATCACTCTCGGTCCTCGTTGTCTGCAAGCAGGATCAGCGCTCTGCTGAAGAGAGAGGGCAGGGGGTCTTCTTCGGCGACAACTTGGTGTGCGTGGTACATTGATGTCTGGTGGTTTCTTTTGGAGGTGTGGTCTTCCTTCCGATTAATACCCTCAAGTGCTTCTTGATAGGGTGTGGCCACTCTCGCCAGTGGCGGAGCCAGAAAAATTCTTCCAGGGGCAAGTGCTCTTAAAACTGATCGGGGAGGGTCAAACCACTGGAAAAATATACTTTACAGTAAATCATCACTAATTTTGCTCTATTCATTAGCAATTATGCAGCAAATCTATGATGTTAGGGGGCCTAGGGCCCTGTTAGTCCCCTATGCCACCACTGACTCTTGTAATCTTGTTTTATCTTTAATCTGCTTTATAAGAGGACTCCTCACCTTGTATCGGTTCGGTCGTGTTGCTTTGTATATAAAACGAGATGAAAGCCTTTTTTGGGTTAAGACCCAGGAGCCTCTTTTCATGGTTTTGGTCCACACAATGTGTGTTGGCACACATTTCTAGACTTTCATTTGAGAGAATTTTTACACTTGAAACTTACTTTTTTCGGTTTCTACATAAAAATAGGTGCTTCTTCTATCTACAGATAAAAGCAGCCGAGCTCGGGAGCAGAAGCGCCGCATTCCCTGTAATTACAGATATTCCGTATGGCTTATCGTCAAGGCAGGAGACAACAACGTTTCTCTTTGATTATCTCTTGTTGCCACATCAGGTTCTCAAGTTGCTACGACATGGCAGACGTGATAAGCGCCCCAGTTTTGCTATGCGAAAAAAAGGTTCTCAAGTTGCTGCAAAGCATCCACCCACCGGCACCGCCCAACAGTATTTGAAAAAGGGGACTCATCACCCGAAAAGTGGCTGCAGAGGCCGAGCTCCACTGAGCTCTATAGATATTTCTCAGTTAAAATACCTTTTTCATAACTCAAAAAATCTGAAAAAATGTTTTCATGTAGACATATACTTGAAGTATACGTGTACAAATTTTCATAAATATATGTATTCATAAGTCATGTATATAAAAAAGACAAAATACACAGATTGAAATAGGCTTTTTCTTTGTTGTATTTGTGTCAGATATTTATCTTTTTTGTGTAGCATGCAAATGATCAAATTAGTTACTGAAAATTTGTACATACTTAAAGAATATGCATATGTATTTGTACAAAAAAATTGGCATTTTTTGAAACTTTTAAATATATTTTGATTTTTTTTTTTTTTTTGCAAAACAAGCTCCATGGAGCCCGGTCTTTGCAATGCCACATTCACTCATCACCACCGAAACAGCTGCAGCAGCGCGCGGAGTCGTCAAACAAAACAAGCAAACGGCACCCAGTAATAAACAAACAAAACCGGCGACGGAGAGGCTTATCCGAACCAAGCAAAGCAATCAACACGCAGCGAGAGCTATCCTATATAATACGCACCCCACGGCCAAAGATCCATCCAACCCCATTTCACAGCATCCATCCATTCCAGAGCAATAACAGCTTCCTGACTTCCCATCTCATCGAGTGTTTTTCGATCGGTTGCCAATGGCGGACATAGCGATGCTGGTGGCCGACGAGGCGTTCGAGAAGAGGCTGCAGCGAGGGGCGCCCTTCGCCGGCGCCGGCGAGGAGGCGTCCAAGGGACGGGAGAACTTCGGGGCCGTGACCAAGGTGTGGGGCTCCTGGGCGTCGGGGGTCAAGGTGCGCGTCGCGCTGCTCGTCAAGGCCGACATGGTGGCCGAGCCCAAGACCCCGGTCGCCCTGGCAGCCTTCGACGGCTTCTTCTCTGCTTGATGAGTGTGAATTAATTCGGAGGAGTTTACCGGGTGGAGTACCTCCCCCCCTTAAACCAGTGTCATGGAACTCCGATTTGTACATAACCGTGTGCTTTACTGATTTGCAACAAAGAGAAGTACACTTTTTGAACGGCAACTATGTGTTTTGACATTTCGGGGCTGTTTGGTTTAAGCCCCAACTAGCCCCATCAAAATTTTGCTATGATCAATGTAAGGGCATGACCAAATTTTTGGCAAGTCCTTGTTGTTTGGTTTGTAGCCATTGTACCATCCCCAAAAACTGTCAAAATAGTCCTTTGTGTGGTTTGCAACCAATTATATCGTGGTGGTACAAACATATATTTTTTGCGAAATTAATACTCTTTTCGTCCCAAAATAAGTATCTTGACCTAAGATACTTATTTTGGGACAGAGAGAGTAATTTATATATATTAAAATTAAGATGTAGTTTCCTATAAAAAATTGTAAGAGGCATCCAACAAGAAAAACAAAAACAAAAAAAGGCACGTGATTGTTGTAGCCTGCACTTTGTATGCGAAGAGAGCTGCGTGCGTTTGCTAATCGCAAAAGGACCCACCGATTAATTACTAGCTAATGCAGTTGTAAGTGGCAAGTTTGGAGTAGTTGTTGCGTACTTGCGTGCGACGCCAAAACATTGGCGAAGCTTTTCCGCGCCGGCGGAAATTACACGGGCGGACCACGGGCGCTCGGGGCGAGCCAAATTTTGGCAGCGATCCAAACTACCACCAAATATTGTTGGCTAGCCAATATTTTGGTAGGGTCGACATTGGTTGTAATCCAAACAGTCTTTTTGTTTTTGAAATTGGGCGTTACTGCTATGTAGCGCTGGCCAACCGTCCGAAAACCCAAACCGATGACCTCCGGACCCGTCTAGTCGCAGGTCCCATGCACGGTCACGATTCGTACGACTCAGTTGTTTAATTGCTAACCGTCGGTATGCTCCTCCATTGACGGCCATGACAGCCTCAACCCGTCTCCGCAGCAGCACCACTTCCCCCTGGCTGGCAGCGGAGCGCCCCGCCACCGTCGGTGGCAGGTGGGAGGCGCCGACGAGGTTTGCGGTCATTCTCCTTCTAAAGACGAGATCAAATCTATGCTGACTGGCGGTGATGCAGAGTTTGGTGTTCTTGGATGCCGGAGTGGTGGCCTCGGAAGGTGAGGCCACACGGTTGGCTGTACGACGACAGATATGGCGGCAGTGACGGTGTTTTTCGTTGGCTGCGTAGGCAGCGACAAGCGAGGTGGCGCGGATCCTGCCGGTGGCGGTGCGTCAGCAATGCCATCTCCCATATCATGGTGTGGAGGCTTGTTTTGGTGGCGGTGGAGCTAGGACCGTGGTATCCTGGGTGCCCCGCGTGAGACTCCACGCGAAAGCTCTGTGGTTCAGCGCCGGCGACGATGATGCATGTGTGTGTCGTGTCCCTCTTGGGGCGTTGTTGCCCCCCCCCCTATCCGTGTCAGAGCTTTGGGTGAAAACCCTTGACCGTCCTTCAGTCGCGGTAGCGACGACATGAAGCTCATGTACCTTTCAGTCGCGTCCCTTTAGCATTGGCGGGCGAGCTTGGATCCTATCTCGGGTCTACTTTAGCTCTGGTTTGGGGCAGTCTTGACGGCTTCCTATCCTTTGCACGCGATGTTGTTGACATCACTCTTGGTCCTCGTTGTCTGTAAGCCGGATCGGCGCTCTGCCAAGAGAGATGGCAGGGGGTCTTCTTCGGCGACAACTTGATGTGCGTGGTACATTAATGTCTGGTGGTTTCTTTTGGAGGTGCGGTCTTCCTTCCGGTTAGTACCATCACGTGCTTCTTGATAGGGTGTGGCCACTCTCGTCAGTGGCGGAGCCAGAAAAATTCTACCAGGGGCAAGTGCTCTTAAAGTTGATTGGGGAAGGTCAAACCACTGAAAAAATGGTTTTTACCAGCAAATCATCACTAATTTTGCTCTATTCATTAGGAATTATGTAGCAAATCCATGATGTTAGGGGGGCTAGGGCCCTGTCTCGGCCATTGACTCTTGTAATTTTATTTATCTTTAATCTGCTTTGTAAGAGAACTCCTCACCTCGTATCGGTTCGGCCGTGTTGCTTTGTATATAAAACTGGGTGAAAGCCAATTTTTATGTTAAGACTCAAAGCCTTTTTTCATGGTTTTGGTCGATACAGTGTGTTTTGGCACACGTTTCTAGATTTTCATTTGAGAGAATTTTTACACTTGGAACTTACCTTTCTCAGTGTCTACATAAAAGTAGGTACTTCTACAGATAAAAGCAGCCTGTAATTACAGAAACTCAGTATGGCTTATCGTCAAGGCAGGAGAGAACAACATTTCTCTTTGATTATCTCTTGTTGCTACGTCAGGTTCTCATGTTGCTACCACATGGCAGACGTGATAGGAGACACAAATTTTGGTATAAAGAGGAAAGTTCTCAGGTTGCTCCAAAGCATCCACCCACCGGCCAACGGGATTTGATTGAAAAAGGGAACTCACCACCAAAACAGCTGCAGCAGCGCGCGGAGTCGTCAAACAAAACAAGCAAACGGCACCCAGTAATATACAAAACCGGCGACCGATCACCCACAACGGAGAGGCTTATCCGAACCAAGCAAAGCCAAGTAAAGCAATCAACACGCAGCGAGAGCCATCCTATATAATACGCACCCCGCGGCCATAGATCCATCCATCCCCATTTCACAGCATCTATTCCAGAGCAACAGCAGTTTCCATCATATCCGAGTGTTGATCGATCGGTACTTCGGTAGCCAATGGCGGACATAGCGATGCTGGTGGCCGATGAGGCGTTCGAGAAGAGGCTGCAGCGAGGGGCGCCCTTCGCCGGCGCCGGCGATGAGGCGTCCAAGGGCAGGGAGAACTTCCGGGCCGTGACCAAGGTGTGTGGCTCATGGGCGTCGGGGGTCAAGGTGCGCGTCGCGCTGCTCGTCAAGGCCGACCTGGTGGCCGAGCCCAAGACCCCGATCGCCATGGCAGCCTTCGACGGCTTCTTCTCTGCTTAATTAGTCATCTTTT